CAAATATTATGAACACTAAACATGGAAATATTATGAACACTAATCATGTTGAAATATTATGAACACTAATCATGTTGAAATATTATGAACACTAATCATGTTGAAATATTATGAACACTAATCATGTTGAAATATTATGAACACTAATCATGTCGAAATATTATGAACACTAATCATGTTGAAATATTATGAACATTAAACATGTCCAAATATTATTAACACTAATCATGTTGAAATATTATGATCACTAAACATGTTCAAATATTATGAACACTAAACATGTACAAATATTATGAACACTAATCATGTTGAAATATTATGAACACTAAACATGTCCAAATATTATGAACACTAATCATGTTCAAATATTATGAACACTAAACATGTTGAAATATTATGAACACTAAACATGTCCAAATATTATGAACACTAATTATGTTGAAATATTATGAAGACTAAACATGTTCAAAATATTACGAACACTAAACATGTCCAAATATTATGAACACTAATCATGTTGAAATATTATGAACACTAAACATGTCCAAATATTATGAACATTAATTATGTTGAATGAAAATCAATTCTGATTTCAAGGAATGTATTTTAACAAAATGTGTACCTTAAAATGTGTACTATTAATGCAAGGGTTAGTTCTTCATGTTGAAGAATAATAAATGATGAATGATTTTTTATCTTGAGATTTCAAGAGAATCACTTTAACAAATTGTGTAATTTATAGTAAGAAACTTGTGGAGTTATTTGACCGGTTTGGTAGTTTGTTAATGTGAAATAAAAAGAATTAAAATACAGGTCAACGATCTTTAACTACAAAAATAATAATTAACCTAGATTGTATTTATTAAACTAAAAATTCAGGAATATAGATATGAGAAAGATTGACCATATTTAAATTGCATGTCACGATGTATGACAAAGGGTTAGAACCTGCTAACGTTTCTGACTTTGTAAATTGTCACGGAAGCTCCTAAATAGATCCGCTAAATCGTTCATTAGGTACAAGGATTAATTTTATCTGACCGCGAGTGCTCATAAGAATGCATCGTTATTGAATAGAAGATACTGAAAAACGTAGCAGCTGTTTCGAAATCCGTGGTACACGTAATCATCGATTAGTACGAGATAACATTTTCCGCTCCCGGTGAAATTAATTATAAATTGATAAAAATTTTACGATTCACGTAAGTAGAAACGTGATAACGGTGATAATAGTCGTGTGGTAACATCTGGTACCGTTGCACTCCGCGACTCTAAAACTTGGCGTTCTTCTTTCTTTTAAATTAATACTTTACCTTAATATATCAAATATAATAACGAAAAGTAAGAAACTTAAAAGAAAACTATGAAACTTTTTAGTAAAATAGCTAACATGGTATCTTAATTATGTGTTATTAGAGTTTAACGTATTCAAATTTATTAAAGCAATTTGACACAAATTTTATGCAATTTAATAACACAAAAGTGGGTAATTATAGCGCAGTAAATTGAATTTAATGTAACCTGTCAGACTTGAAGTTTTGAATCGATAAGTCACAAGTGATACCCTATTTTCATAACCGACGTTTGATATGCACTAATATGATACTTGACGCCATTTTCCGTACATCGCAGCTTCCGATGAAACTAATTCATCGATCTTTTTTTGTACTCTGAAGAGGATATTAACACGTTAACTGTCACGTCATCCGTGCACGGGTTTATATCGAGTTTCCACAAGAATCCCCCGGTGTTACGGATAATAGGGACATCGAAGTCTCGAAAATAACAGATAAGATTGGCTAAACAGCAGGAAGCAACCCAATAAAATTTTCAACGTATGGTAACTTGAGGAAATATCTTCGAAATTGATTAAATAAAAATAACTACTTGTAACAAACATGTTGACAAAGGTAGACAGAGCTACAATTTTTTATTTATTGAGAATAGTAAATTACTCGTTGGAGAGTTTAATAATTGTACAAAACGAATGTATTTATACAAAAAAAATTTTACATTTTTATTCTATAAAAATTATGTAAAACTGCTATTTTAATAATCGTCGAATTTTATCTGTAATATATAAGTTTCTCGAGGTGGAAAGGTTAAGGGTTAACTTGTCGAATTTCACCGCATTATTATCATAATTTTGTCCCCATTCAGGACGTTCATTTAATTAAGCGACTAAATAATCGAACGGTCGAGTTGAACCTCCATGGCTTACTAATAGCTTCTTCTGGCCGACTAGGAGAAAAATTTTTCCGATATTCGTCGAACGTGGTACCCTAGACCCGTACCCTAAAACTGCTTATTCGGCTCCGTGAAAGACGCCAATCTCGAAGAATTTCTATGAAAATCGATCGATGTTCTTACGTACTCTTACCGCCAGAACTAACGACCTGGACGAGCGCTTCCTGCACGAAATTGGACCCGGAATATACAGGGTGGTCGATGTTTATTGTGTCGGACTGTTTCGTTAGAATACAAGCTCTTCTGTGAAAGTACTCGTAGCGTTGAATCACTACGCGTTGAATATCCACGCGTTGGATCACTACGCGTTGGATATCCACACGCTGGATTACTACGCGTTGGTTAACTACGCGTTAGATTACTACGCGTTAGATTCCTAACGCATAGAATTACCACGCGTTGGATTACTACGCGTTGAATATCCACGCGCTGGATTACTACGCGTTGGATATCCACCCGCTGGATTACTACGTGTTGAATTATTACGCGTTGGATTACTACGCGTTGCATTCCTATGCGTAGAATTACCACGCGTTGCATTACTATGCGTTGGATTATAACACGTAGGAATACCAAGCGTTGCATTACTACGCGTTGAATATCCACGCGCTGGATTACTACGCGTTGGATATCCACCCGCTGGATTACTACGTGTTGAATTATTACGCGTTGGATTACTACGCGTTGCATTCCTATGCGTAGAATTACCACGCGTTGCATTACTATGCGTTGGATTATAACACGTAGGAATACCAAGCGTTGCATTACTACGCGTTGAATATCCACGCGCTGGATTACTACGCGTTGGATATCCACCCGCTGGATTACTACGTGTTGAATTATTACGCGTTGGATTACTACGCGTTGCATTCCTATGCGTAGAATTACCACGCGTTGCATTACTATGCGTTGGATTATAACACGTAGGAATACCAAGCGTTGCATTACTACGCGTTGAATATCCACGCGCTGGATCACTACGCGTTGGATATCCACACGCTGGATTACTACGCGTTGGTCTACCACGCGTTGAATATTCACACGCTGGATTGCTGATTCCTATGTTTAGAATCACCACGCGTTGCATTACTACTCGTTGGACTAATACGCGTTGAATATCCACGCGCTGGATTGCTACGCGTTGGATATCCACACGCTAGATTACTACGCGTAGGATTACTAGACGTAGGAGTACCACATGTTGCATTGCTACGCATCGAATTACCACGCGTTGCATTACTACGCGTTGGATTACCACGCGTTGGATAACTACACGTTATCCGAAGCTGTCGCTCTCGCGTCTGCGCATGCGTAATCCTCGCGCTCTGTGTGGTCCGTGTTTTTCCTTAATAATTCAAAAATGAAGCTTCAAACCCCATTTTTGCAAAGGGAAATCTTATTCGGAATCACGTCAGCTACCTCCCATTTTATGGACCTGCTACTACTTGTGAGACACGCGGTATATGAATTATTAGGGTATTTGTATGATCGGTTACTTGTACATGACGGGTCACTTGTAGATAATTAATTGTACGGTCAGAGTCACTCAAATAATAATTATATTAATTAAATATAAATTTAAGAAAGAAATCTATTACTCTCATACATCTTTCTCTCATTAACCTCTGCATGCAGTTGTTCCTTTTTAACAATTTGTGATTGCCTTCGTTTTACCCCCGTTTCATCGGAGTTACGATGGAGAGTTATTTAAAAACAGCTCTTCCAATTTCCTCGTTTTAATTACGAAGCTCTGCGGAGCTTTAGCTCCGAAGTTGGTCCGGAATCGGTAAACACAAAAGCGCGTTGATCACGCGAATGTGCTCTTATCAACGAAACCGGCATGTGCATTCGACTCTTATTTCCCGATCAATGACTCCGTGAAGTCGTACGATATTCTCGAGCGTAATGACTCACCGATAACATCGATTCCGATAACCTTGTCACATGGGCATTTTAATCGTGAACGAGCGTTTCGGTTTGTTGGTTAACCGCGTAAATATACTTCGAGTTGATAGACTGGCATTGAACGAGATGAAATGCATGCTGTTTCATTCGGATATTGGGCACTGTTCCAATTATGTTCGAATATACATTAACCCTTTGCATTTCTTTTCTTTTACCTACTTGTTTAATTACTGTTAAGAGACAACTAACAGACTGGTCTTATATGTACATGTATGTATATCTAACTTATATGTATAATATGTACATGGTTTGTACATAATACACTCATACTAATAAGTATTGTTTCACCAAATTTATCAACCGACGTAGTACTTAAAAAACAATTTCCGTGTCCGTCTAGACATCCCTGATTACATTGTAAACGATATTAAATTCTCGGATCGGACGTAAATTCTCAACAGGTCCATTCTGTTTGTCGAAGACAGGGAAGATTACACGAGGGACGCTCGTTCCGCAAGGGAAGTACATTTTTAGGGAAACGAGGAGCGTATGGTATCGATCGAGTAACCATCGAACAATGTCGTGCTGTGTTTGCAAATTTCGTTTGAATTCTATTAGACTCGTTTACACGGCGAACGGAAAGAATGTCGGATATGTCGCCTCGAGGCATCTAGCTTGTTCTTCATGAATAAGTCTGAGGATTCTTTATCGGGGACGGCTTACCAATCTCTATTATCAGACCTTGCAAGCGATTATACGATAAATCGTTCGGGGAACTTGGGTCTTCGATCGACGAAGTTGGATCGTTTGACAAAGTTGCATTTTAGATTGACAAAGTTGGATCGTTTGACAAAGTTGCATGTTCGATTGACAAAATTGGATCGTTAGACAAAGTTGCATCTTCGATGGACAAAGTTGAATCGTTCGACAAAGTTGCATCTTCGATAGACAAAGTCGAATCGTTCGACAAAGTTGCATCTTCAATCTACAAAATCGAATCATTCGACAAAGTTGCATCTTCGATCAACAAAATCAGATTGTTCAACAAAGTTACATCTTCGATCGACAAAATTGAATCGTTCAACAAAGTTGCATCTTCCATGCAACATCCCACTTGTGATCAATTTCTCAACAATGCATACGGGAATATAACGCACGGAAATGGATCGAGTCGTCTGTCAAAGGGAAGGTAAATATTCGAGCTCCACGAATGCAGATTCTCAACGATGGCCGAATCGTAATTGGATCGACGAAAAACCGCGTAGAAAGTAACGACGTAATGCTACGTGAGCACTGGTCTCGCGAGGTAACTGTACTCGGTGGTAGCTACAACATACTAAATGCAATCCAAATACGGTTGGTATTTGATCGAATACGCATTCTTGACCCTCTGACACCGCGACCAATTGGAACGTCCAGCCTGGTTCTGTTCGCCGAGCAACTTCAAAACTTGACCTTGCAATACGGTTAAGTTAGACCCACTATACATCTTTAACATTTTTTATGTTTTCCGTAGAATTAAAAGGTTTTCAAATTTGTAATGATATAATTTAGGTATTAACCCCTTGCCATACTTTGACGAGTCTCACACGTGACACACTCACAACTCAAATGTGACATAACCTTCTCCAAAATTTTGAATACTCTTCAACTTGAAATTTAGGTCCAACTACAATTTGTATAGTCAAGGATCGCTGAATAGAAAATACTCCTATTATTTTAATTTTCTTTGTTTGTTTTAATATTATAACTATGAATAGTTAGTTTTGACTGACGCATTTGGCAAATAAATTGTAAGGCAAGGGGTTAAGATGACACACGTGTAGATAACATTAATACATGTTAATATGTTATCTTGTATTTTCATAGTTTGCTTTGGTTCTGCCTAGGTCTGTACATATTGATCATATGCTTCATATCTTCCTTATTTTACTGTCATACCAAACGCAAACCAAACACGGTATTTTATTATATTTAGTTTTTAATGTATTTCAGTTTGGCAATAATTTTGCATGATCCAAGACAATTTCATACGATATAATTATAGCCGTAACAGTGAGATTTGGTACATGATTCGTTGGGACATCAAGTATCTCTAACACAGGTTGACTGCCACGTCGCCCATACTGATTTAACATATCAGTATTCACTTTCCTAATCGAAAATTTTCGCATTAATTACATGGATCTATAGAAAATAAATGTAACAAGACATTGTGAAAATATTTAAAAAAATTGATTAACACTGAAACTACCAAACCGGTCAAATGACCGTTCCACAAGGTCCTTGTTATAAATGACACAATGTGTTGAATTGATTCTTCTAATACCTGTATTGATCTTCATCAAGATAAAGAATTAAAGCGCGCACTAATTTACGTTTTGTTGATTGTTCATTTATTTTTTGACTCCATTTTTTAACTCAGATTAAGTGCATATTATACGCCGGTAGGTTTAGTGTTAATTAAAACACTACTGGATGCAATTGAAAATTGCTTTAGTGTGGCAGTCAACGAGCTCAAAGGTTCCCTTTCGTTAAAACTTGCACTATGACTCAGGTGCGTCAGAGCTAATCACAGATTACTATCAACGTATTTAGCTTTTAATGTATTTCAGTTTAGTAATAATTTTGCATGATTCAATTTTCCATGAAAGTGAAATTTTTGTGCGTGAACTAATTGGCTAAGGTTCCCATCATGAAACTCGAATTAAGAAATGACGCCATTATGTGAACACCAGTTAATCTTGTACTTACGCAAAACATGACTCACATATTTATCGCCAAAGTTTTGGAAACGTAATTACCTATAGTTTATCGTTCAATCGCGTATCTTAGGTAGATTGTTTTCGGTGATGAGTCATTTACAGGTAAATGAAGAAAAACGTACCTCGTAGAAGATCCATGTGGAGAATATTGTTTGAAACAAGTTGTACCCTATCAGGATCTTCCGAAGTTTGAAAGGCTTTCTATTTTCCATTAGCCTCGGTCCCAAAACCTTGCTGAAATAAGCGTAAAATAGGCATATCGCTATCGTCGGAAATGGACTGCCCATCATGATATAAGTATTCACCCGAGGATCTGCAATCAAAATACAATTTGTCAGAAAAGAAAAAAGCAGTTTAGAAAAGTTGAATCGTTTGTGAATTTAATACATCAGTTGGCATATGTGACTTATGATACAAATTTAGTTAAATTGATTATTTATAGAGAAAATAGATGAAAGGAATTGGGGACGATTAATATCGAACTGTTTTTCGTTGACAAGCTAAAGATGCAACTGAAAGATTAATCTCTGTCTTACAGTATCCACATGTGATGTTCTCCATCTTCACATATGACAAACCTTACTAGAACTTTTAATACGCAGTCTGTACTTTATAATTGCTGGAGGTCTTTCAACTTCATTTTTAATTTCAAATTAAGTCCTCATTACACTAGTAGGTTTAGTGACTTACATGATTGTATTTGTAGTTGTCTAGTTATTTTTCAACTTCATTTTCAATTTCAAATTATGTCCTCATATGCTGGCACGTTCAGTGACTTACATGGTTGTATATGTAGTTGTCTATTTATTTTTCAATTTCATTTTTAATTTCAAATTAAGTCCTCATTATACTAATAGGTTTAGTGACTTACATGATTGTATTTGTAGTTGTCTATTTATTTTTCAACTTCATTTTCAATTTTAAATTAAGTCCTCATTGTACTAATAGGTTTAGTGACTTTTATGAATGTACAGGTAGTTGTCTATTTATTTTTCAACTTCATTTTCAATTTCAAATTATGTCCTCATATGCTGGCACGTTCAGTGACTTACATGGTTGTATATGTAGTTGTCTATTTATTTTTCAATTTCATTTTTAATTTCAAATTAAGTCCTCATTATAATAGTAGGTTTAGTGACTTACATGATTGTATTTGTAGTTGTCTATTTATTTTTCAACTTCATTTTCAATTTCAAATTAAGTCCTCATATGCTGGTACGTTTAGTGACTTACATGATTATATTTGTAGTTGTCTATTTATTTTTCAACTTCATTTTCAATTTCAAATTAAGTCCTCATATGCTGGTACGTTTAGTGACTTACATGATTATATTTGTAGTTGTCTATTTATTTTTCAACTTCATTTTCAATTTCAAATTAAGTCCTCATATGCTGGTACGTTTAGTGACTTACATGATTATATTTGTAGTTGTCTATTTATTTTTCAACTTCATTTTCAATTTCAAATTAAGTCCTCATATGCTGGTACGTTTAGTGACTTACATGATTATATTTGTAGTTGTCTATTTATTTTTCAACTTCATTTTTAATTTCAAATTAAGTCCTCATTATAATAGTAGGTTTAGTGACTTACATGATTGTATAGGTAGTTGTCTATTTATTTTTCAACTTCATTTTCAATTTCAAATTAAGTCCTCACACACCAGCAGGTTTAATGTCAAACTTTGATTTGAATTTAACATTTTACCTCGTTCACAAAAGAAAACAAGAAGTACATATACCAAAAGAAGTTGATAAAAAAGCAGCATCACACGTAGGGATAAATCAGCTCTTCTTTATTAAACGAGCAAGGGGATCTTTTTCTGGTTGAAAAGTGACTCGGTTAACGGGTTAAAGTAAACTGCCTGATAACTTTGTTCTTATTCTAAAAATAATCGCAAAGAGGTTAACGAACCGGGAAGGCTGTACTTTATTGTCGTTTAATGACAGGAAAATTGTCATGACCAAGCTTAGTGTACCGTAATGACGATGCACAAAGTTGTGGAAAAAAATGGGGAAAGAAGAAAGGAGAAGGGAATTGTTTGCCTTTCTATTTCCTTGGTCGTTAAGAATCCTGACTTGAACATTCGGTAATTAACCGAATCGCGGAATTTCGACGTCGAGTTATGCTGCATGAAGGCTTTTAATTAACTGCAAACACGAACCGAGGCAAATTCGCTATCGAATCTTTTTCGAGGATATTTTTATTTTTCTGGAATAAGTTCTGCATCAGATGATGGTTACGTTAGGTTAAGTTAAGTTAGGTTAGATTAGGTTATTGAGTTGATACGTTCAATCTGAGATGAGACGTAGAGACTTCAAGGTTATGGTTGACTATTTCATTCAAGAAATGATACTTCGCGAAATGTGATAAAAAATATAAGTAATTTTCAGAGTGAAAGATATTTGAATACCGAAAGTTTAAATTAGTGAAAGTTTTGATGTCATAGAATAAAGAGAATACAGTTTTGATGAAGGTTGAACGCCACCGAAGCGAAAAGAAGAGAATTGATTTGTGTCAGAGTTATTTTTCTAAGATCACTAAAGGTCGGACAGAAGTTATAAAAATTTAAGGACTCTCAATTCTACAGGCTTTTGAACACGAGACTAATTTCAAGCCTACGTAACGATCCATTGAGACCGCGAGGTTACCGCTTTGATTTTTGCTAATAACAGGGGTTGAAATTGAAAGGGTACGTACGATGAAAACGTGGTATTTCGCAAAAGTTGCCATAGAAACGTAGCGCTTAACGTTATCAATTTTCGCGCGATTCAATTTCGAGTCCCGATACGTCGCTTAATTAAAGCTCCTATCGAAGAAATAATCTGGAGACTTAATTTTGCAAATAAAACAATTGAAAATCGATGCGCGTTAACGAGACTCGTCGTTTTCGTTGAAAACGAATCGGCAATTAGCCGCTATTACAAACGATTCTGGCACAATGTGCAATTATGCTTTTACGATCACCCCTCTTTACTGTTTACTTTCTTTGACCCAGATTTCGACGACAATGGTGTCATTAGGAACATTGGCCACGATGTAGAATAATGGCCAACGTGTCGAGAAAGGGTGGCGTATCGAATACGAGAGGGGAGAAGAAAACAGGGTAATTATTCCAATACACCGATGGAAACTTCCCAATAATAATTAACAACTAATGAATATTCCGATTCTGGACTATCGATGTGTGGATATTTTTGTTCTGATAGGGTTAATCGTTTTGTCAAGGTATTAGGTTAGGTTTGAGTGACACGTGACGCAGTCGTGGTTCACACGTGATGTACTCGAGGACCACACGTGACACTTTCTGTTCACATGTGAGGAACTGTGTTGGAATTTTTAATAAGATTCAACTCGAAATTTAAGGTATTAGGTTAGGTTAGATGTGACAAGTCTGACTGGTGACGCACTTGCAGTCCACATATGACGCACTCTTAATTCATTCGTGACGCACTCTCAGTCCACATGTGACAAAATATATTAGAGTTTTTAATAAGCTTCAACTCGAAATTTAAGGTATTAGGTTAGGTTAGATGTGACAAGTCTGACTGGTGACGCACTCGCAGTCCACATATGACACACTCTTAGTTCATACGTGACGCACTCTTAGTCCACATGTGACAAAATATATTAGAGTTTTTAATAAGCTTCAACTCGAAATTTAAGGTATTAGGTTAAGTTAGATGTGACAAGTCTGACACGTGACGCACTCGCAGTTCATACGTGATGCACTCTCAGTCCACATATGACACACTTGTAGTTCCTACGTGACGCACTCTCAGTCCACACAGGGTGCACTCACAGCTCACATATGATAAACTTTGTCCTAATAATTGTAACCTCTTCGATAAGGTATTAAGTTTGACAAGTATGACACGTGACACACTCACAGTCCACATGTGATGCATTCACAGTCCATATGTGAGGTACTCTCGGTCCATACGTGATGCACTCGCAATCCATTCATGTGACGCACTCATAGTCCACATGTGACGTACTTACAGTCCACATGTGACGCATTAGCAGTCCACATGTGACACACTCACAGTCCACATGTGACGTACTCTCGGTCCATACGTGATGCACTCGCAATCCATTCATGTGACGCACTCATAGTCCACATGTGACGTACTTACAGTCCACATGTGACGCATTAGCAGTCCACATGTGATGCACTCTCAATCCATATGTGACGCAGTTGCAGTCCATATGAGACGCACTTACAATCAACATGTGACGCACTCATTGTCTACATGTGACGCACTTACAGTCCATATGTGACGCATTAGCAGTCCACATGTGATGCACTCTCAATCCATATGTGACGCAGTTGCAGTCCATATGAGACGCACTTGCAATCAACATGTGACGCACTCATTGTCCACATGTGACGTATTCGCAGTTCATATGAGACGCATTCGCAGTCAACACGTGACGCACTCATTGCCCACATGTGACGCACTCGCAGTTCACATGAGACACATTCGCAGTCAACACGTGACACACACGTAATCAACATGCGAAACACTTATTATCCACACGTGACCCACACTATATTAGAATTTTTAATAAGGTTCAACTTGAAGTTTAAATCGTAATTTACATAGTCAAGCTGAATACAAAGATGCATAAAATTTTAATTTCCATTATTTGATTCATTACGTTCGCGCTGACGCACTGACAAATCAGCAAAGGATAGGTTAAAACTTTGAAGTTTTAATACATACACATGAGCGAAATTGATAAACTTTGGAAATCCGAAGCGTTTCATGTACAATAGAGTTCTTATATATCGAACATAAAGCACTATTTTCAATACAATCATGAATATATAAATATCCACAATGAAATCAATCGCGACCTGTGAATCCAGGAAATTTGAAAATTTGCTTTTTCACTCGTGACATTAATATCCGGTATAAAGCAGCGTTTGTCAAACAATAGGATGAATTACGGTCGGTTTCGGATTTTATGACAGACTCGAATTTCAAGGGAAGAATTTTTAAGTTACTTTACTGGTCGTTAAAACTTGCGGCCTCTAGAGGTCGATGACACCTCCTTTAAATTAATTATTTCGTCATCGAATGATTTAATCGACTGCGAACAGCAGGTTTTTTATGCAACGTGTACTTTGAACCGAGCTGCGAATTTTAACAACGAAACGAGGTTGAATGATCGGACTGATTGGATCAAATACTGTTCGGTAATTTTCTCCGGAATACACGTACCTCCAGCACGTTACACTTATTGGTTTTTCGGTTTTCCGATTTCTCGATACTCAATTGCTAGTAAAGCTATATTCGTGTTTATCA